AATGTTGCGATGGGCCGAACAGCATGAGCGATAGAGACGGCACACGAACAAAGGGGGATAATCGTGAGGAAGTAGAGTCACGATCAAAGTCATTAAATGGATGCTTAAAATAATGAATGTGTTCCTAAAAAAAGATGAGCAGAATTCACTCGGCTGAGTCAGACTGACTTTTTAATATCATCAAGAGGAGGAATCAAGAGGAATGATGACCTGGTGGATGACAGAAATAGTTTCAATACGAGTAAAATTCAGGTTTAAGTTCAGAAATTGAATCATTTCCTATAGTTTCTGTTCAAATTTTTAGAAATGTTAAAACTATTTAGAATCCTCAATTGTATGTCAAATTGTGAAGCCAAAATTAATTTCGGAAGCTAGAACGATAAAATATTTAAGGCGATTTTGTCATACATACAAAATTTATCTCGATATTAGATATTTATCAAAAAATACCGTAAAATTAATTTTTTAGTTTGAAATTTCTCTATATATTTCTCACTGGTAAATAAACAGTTAACCATTTCCGGTTAAAAAATATCAAAACTCGAAACTTCCATCGTGTCTCAAATTTGTATCCCCAAAATTTATTTCGGAAACCGAAACGATCAAATATTTAAGTCGATTTTGCCATACAAAATTTATCTCGACAGTTATTTACACTAATAACGCAAAAAAATACTGAAACAAAAACCTTTCTCCTTATCAATGCCATGCAGCACCAGGAGTAGCGACTATTTACCATTATTCTCATGGTTATGGCTGCTCCATGACGTGATATTTTTTTACGAAAGAGTGTAAAAGTTTCTTTCTCCTGTTCCATTAGAAATATTGTTTTTCCAACATGAACCCCTTTTCAGCCAGCCAAGTAAATCAGAAGAGAAGACACGATGATGAAAAGATGGCACGCACACGCCATCCCAAATTTTTACTACTTTGCTACAAAAACAAACCTAAAATCAAATCGTTCCTCTCGTGCTTTCTTTATTTTTTTTATTCCACAAAAAGGCTTTCACTTCTTTTTCACGGCGATAAAAGGTAAAAGATTCACATAATGTGTCCTCCACACGGATGGAGAGAAATATATATATAAATTTCAATCCCTGGCACTTTCTTCTCAAAATTTTACCAAACTTTTACAAATTCCTTCTGAAAAATAGACAGATAAACGTTTTCTGCCTTGTAAATTAATGAAGCACCTCAGCCTTACATTTGTGCACAGCGTGACCTTCGACCTTTAAAAGAGGAGGGGGATAACAATATAAAAAACTATATAAATTTGAACCCCCGTCATTTTTTTCTCAAAATTTTTACCAAACTTTCGCTATTCAATCCCCCTGAAAATAGACGCGTAGACAAACGCGTTGCAAACTGACGAAACACCTCAGACTTCTTACATCCACACATTTGCACAATGTGACCTTCGACCTTCAAACGAGAAACAATTGAGCGCAGAAATAAGATTCATTTTTTACTCACGAGGTGTTTATTACTCTCGAGAGATAAATAAATAAATAAATAGGTATTGATCGACCGAGTTCCTTAAACTATTTCATTTCATATTCTTCCATTATTTCTTCGTGTTATGCGATGGACACGTTTTTTTCACTCCACATGTTCAATTGGTCCTTCCAATGCAATGACCCTGATCACGCTGCGGGGTTCAGAGAGTGAGAATCTGCATGCCATGCGAAATGCAAATGGATCCCTGACTCATTGCTCTCTGCTTGGTGTCACTTTCCTATTTATTTCTCAGCCGTCAGGGTTATTGGTCACTTTTAGTCTTATCGCTTTGGTCGACGCACTCACCATTGGCTGTGGACTAGCAATTCATTCATGCTCACACCAAAAAATTATAGGCACAAACAAAATGCACCCACAATTTATTTCCTGTCTTCAACATCGATGAAAATTTCTGCACTTTAAACCATGCCGAATTCGACTTAGGAACGAATTAATGCACAATTTTCCTACCTGACTGGACTGGTGCAACAAACTAGTGTTTCGTTTCTTGGCTGCATTTCTTGCACTGCAAAGCAAGAAATGTGGGGTGCAAGAAAGTGCAAGAAATATGCGAATTTCGCTACGCGCCGTATGAATTATTAACGGCGAAGGAGTTTCTTGCGCCTTGCATTTCTTGCAGGTCAAAATCGCTGCAAGAAACCACCTTCTTGCCGCTATTTCTTGCAAGTGTTAAATTTCTTGCACCCGAAACACTGCATCCCGTCCTGCCGGACAAAACCAGAGCGATAAACGAGCCCAAATATATTTATGTACCTTCATTTCATCCCATCTTTAAATCCAATTGAGCCAATATATTTATGCACAAGGTATGTACTACGGATTGATCTCTTAAATAATCCTATCCCATCATCATCATCATCATCATCATCATCATCATCATCACAGAAAAGAAATAAATACGTAACTAACGTCGCTCGCTACTATCACATAGTGGAATAAATGACTGTGTAAATTATATGATTGCAAAACTTGTTTGTTACTTTGTTCACTTATTGCTTCCATCGGAAAATCAGACAACAATCCATTCGTCTCTCTCTCCAATTGAGATTTTGAGCTAGACGCTGATGCTCCTGCTTCACAAAGTAAGTACTTGCCTTACAAATTACAGGACAAATAAAACTAGGAGTTAGTTGTTTATTGTGCCAAATGAAAAAAAAATACGACGACGACGACGAACGATGCGAGTAAGAGGGAGGGAATTGATAGAATCAAACGTGAATTTGTTTATTAACGTGCCAGAGATTACATTTGGATAAGCGCCGAGGCAAAATCCAATCCGTATTATGTACCATCGTGTCTACGAATGTACGTACCGTTTCTCAGAGACAGACTTGGATTACATTAACAGCAAATAATAATAATAATAATATGTAAGAAGACGAAGTAATGCAATGTAATGTTGCCAATGTCTCGGCAAAGTCAAATAATATGTAAAGGAGGAGTCATCGTCACGTTTAAATAAATAGTGATGAAAACTAGATACAGATTTTGGCAGAAATTTTGATTATTTTTTAAAAGGGGTGGGTAGAGCAAAGTTGAGTTACAAATTTATTTATATAGATTTAGAAGATTTTTGTTAAGGTAAAGAAAAAGTTTGTTATTTTGGATTTGTCGTTTTTTGCAATTTTGAGAATATCAGCGAAAATGTATGTATGTATAAAATCCGATCTAAAAGTATCCCCAATTTGTAAAAATTTCACTACAAAACACTTCCCATTGTTCAATCATTAATTGAATATCTCATCTTACACGAACCATTTGAATGTAAAAAATTATAAAAACGGGACAAAAAAGCGACCGCAATTAGCCAGACAGACAACCTCGAAACGGAAGTGGATACACAATCTACTTACGTACGCACTTAGGCACGAGTGAAAGTTGATCTCACGTAAGGAAATATCTGTCTCTCGATCCGCTCGTCAAGAAACAAACCGTTTAATGAATTCCTTTATTTCAACTTTGCACATTAAGCAATTCGACGACGCAAACAAACTACTTTCCAATCGTGGCGCTCACCTTTGTTCAACAATGTTCCTGGAAATTTTGGGCCAACTTTTTGAGAAATGTGCTCAGATTTCAATTAGTTACATAACATAATCACCAATTACCAAGTAAATATTTATCCTACTGAACTGCGAACCTGACCCCGCCAATTGGGAAAAAATGGAGCACAACGCAAGCAATGATTAATTTGCACTTTCATTCATTCATATTTACTTTACTTTACTTTGCGGTTTGGTAATTAACGCCGTTTTGTTTGGATTTCTTTCTTGAATGGAGGAAATTCCTGCTCCAAGGCTAATTTGTCAATCAGATCAATCAACGTAATGTGTGAAGGTGTTTGATTAAATAACTTGGTGTGGCAGCAAAGTGTGTGTAATTAGCTCATTGTTTGCATTGTTTGTTACAATTACTTCTCCTTCTTGTCAACCCTTCGTCAGGAGTGACGGTGCCGACGCCAAGTCAATCGAGAGATACCTTCAGATTTCATCTCTTGGGCAAAACTCTGCACGCATTTCGCAACCGCGGCGGCGGTAATAATATTTTATTTACGCAACGATTTTCTTCTAATAAAATGCTTAAACGGCTTTTACTCATTATCATCATCTCCTCATTTGCGTCAAGAAATAAGTAATTTGTGAGGTGACGAGGGAGCAAAAAAACTTTCAAATATTTGTATTTACTTATTTACTTATTTACATGTGCGCAGGTAGACAGACGTAAAAAAAACTTGGCAAGAGTTACGTTAAGGAGGAGAATGTCTGTTTCCGTTTGTGGTTCCATTTATGGTGAAAAAAACGAGTAAAAATCATGTCGGTGATAAAGGATTACATTAAATTTTCAATTATTATTGCTTGCGGGAAGGTATTTGAACTTTAGAATTTTAAGCGGATTTGGAGCAAATGAAGTGAATTTGTATAATTTATTGGTAAACTTCTAATTACGGTGTAAAATATGCACGGGTAAATTTGCAATTAATTTTGCAAAAAAAAGTATTATTGGTCGGGAAGTTATTTGAATTTCAGAATTCGAGTTTATTTACTAAGCGGATTTTGAGCAAATGAAGGAATTTGTACAATTTATTAGTCCCTAATCTTTAAGTAAATAATTACCGTGTAAAATATAACTTGTAAATTTGCAATTGCTTAATTTTCAATTGCTTAATCTGCGAAAAAATGTCCTCCAAAACCATAATATACATAAGCACACATGAAAATTGCGAACAGAAAAAATATAGTAATGAATAAATTAAACTTTTGCATCGTTTTTTAAAGCGTAAATTTTCCCTACACATTTAATCAAATAGATATCATTTCCTCCCCTCCCGTGACGATGGCTTGACCTGCAGTGCAGTGATACAGATTTTTTTCTTCACATACATAAAAATATTTATTATTGTTCTTAATATTCATTGATCAGAGCAATAATTTGCGTGTAGCACAAGAAGCCCATTCTGTTACATTGTATTACGTGGTACATACGTGTGGTGTGTGTGTGTGGTTATGGCGAAAATATTTTTTTGCAAGTGAACTCGTGCGTTTGACAGTAAATAACTCGTTTCGATTTCAAACGTTCGTTTTCCAATCACATAATTCAGCCGGGCCGATTTCCTTGTCGCCGTCCCACTGCGAGGAGGACGGAGGGCAGATTAGTATTGAGTACTGAATAATTCGACAGGGTACGTTATTAGGGTAACTTACCTGACGCTTGACCTGGATCATCGCATATTTGTGTCCTCGTGTGATGCCAGATTATTGACGTGGTGTTGAATGGACGAATTAGTTTTTTTAGGATAGAATGAAATCGTGGTTTTATTTTCGGCTTTAAACGATTTTTAGGTATGATTTGATACCGTAAAATTTATGTGATTTTGTGTACGACAATAATATTAGTGGCGTAATTCTCTGCAGTTTCCAAAATGTTTGAGTTTTTTAACAAATTTTGAAAAATTTAATTTTATGACTGTAACAACTCGTCCAAATATGAAATAGTATGATAGGAAATAATTCTAAAATTAGATTGGACTGTTATTTGGCCACTGCCTTTATCAGCAGAGTGTAAGGATTCCGTCAAAATTTCGTGCAAATCGGATGAACCAATTTAAGACTTGGTCAATAATTGCGAAAAGGAGGTTATAGGACACCAATTTTAATATTTTTTTCTATTCGGCGACCGAATTACTTTCGGTCCGTAGAGGCAAACGGACCGCGGTGCAGATAAGCCCGGCTACACGATAAAATTTTTATGCGACGTGTAAAGTTGAACAACTGATTATGAGCTCAATCTACGTATGTAGTTTGTTAGTGAGAGGGTTACATACAACAAAGGTAAGTTTTTTCCACGGGTGCAGAAATTTGGCGACAAAAAGGCCTAATTTGGACCCTTCGAAGTACTACAAAAGTGAGCCCTTCTCCATCCTATTTTATCCTATTATATCCTCACTGCACAATTTATTTATGCAGAAATTTATGTTGCTATTATCACCTTTTTGTAGGTATCGTTCGTTTCATTGAACTTTACTTTGCATGCAGTGAAGCAGGTTACCTACTTATTTATTTATGTATGTATGACTGAGCAGGTTTTAGAATTTTTTGCCACACGAGTAAAATATTTTGGGGTGAACATTTTGGTGAGACACGAATTTTAGAAATTTTTCGCTTATCCAAGACACAAGTAATCTTACGATATGAATTTGTATACCATTTTTTTTATTACTAAATACGACATTTTGCAAAAATTTATGGAGGTCGAGATGCAAATTGCCAGCTACCCCACTTACACAAGCATTTTTCCTTAGGAACATGCAGGACAAAGGCATCCAAGATAGTGAGGCAAAGTGAGACTACACATAACACTTGCCCTATATACTACCTCATTTCTCACCATGATTATCTCCTCGTCCCCTCATTTAACAGGTCTCCTCAGCCCCAAATTCAATTGTTTTTCCACACATAAGTAGCGTATCTCATCACAAGGCGAATATTTAGCAACAAGTGTCACTTCACCAATTTAAGCATTAAATGATCCAAATCAATCTGTGAATGAATGTTTTGCCTCTGCCAAAAATCGAGACAAAAACACACATCGACTAGCCAAACCATCCACTAAATCATCCCGTCCTGCGAGGCGAGTCAGATAGATAAACAAATCATTACCAACTGGATTAGTGGTCGTGGTCGTGGTGGTGGGTTTGCAGTTGGAGGAATAATCGCCAAGGGCTCTCTCAAGTCATCGAGATGTCATGCACACGAGGAATGCACCCTCTGCGTGTGGGATGCCATGTAAAACCAGCAACCCTTACGGATACGCAGTGATCTCGCTAATGTGTATGCGAGCAATAAAGCCTCTTGTTTTTTATGAGGGGGAAAGTATCATCGCTTTTACTTTTACATGACTTTTCCTATGTGTTTGTTGTCGGGCTGTGAGTCATCCACGTGCCCCACTAATTGTGAGCTTCCTCAATTATTCATTATTAAAAGACGTCATGTTTACCCCATTACTTGTTATTAAGGCTCAACTCCTGATTTCGGAGGTGGATAAGGGTGAGCAGATGGTGTCTCATTCTGCCCCCTGTCTATTCTAACGGGTAAAAGTCATGCATGCATCAGTACTGAATAAATATATATCAATGTGTATACGGACCACAGGTCGTCGTCGTCGGAAGTGGAGGACGTAATAATAATGGATCCGTGAGATAAGGTCGGCATCTTTCAGGGCAAATAATGAGCAGCAGCAAATCCATTTTCTTTATTAAAAGTCAACACATGGATGTGCTGGTGGTTTGGTGGACCATGTTTTCTCTCCACTGGGCCCTAGAAATTGAAAATAAAAAGGATAAACAAACATAGAAAAGGAATCCCTGAAATTGTACAGATGTATAAAAATATGGCTATTTAGAATGTTAAAAAACGTTGAGACGCACCGGGCCCGTTCTTTCGGTGAATATTTATTACTAAAGTGTAATTTGATAGTTTGGTGCTTAAATTATGTCGAAAAATTCCAATGCAAACTCTCGCAATTTTAGGCAAACATTTTATTTTGAGCCAAACCACAAAAATACAGAGTCGCCAATTTCAATTAAAAGACATCTTTTTAACAATTTGTACTAAAAATGGAGATCTCCCAGCGTATGCTCGTCGATTTTGACCAAATTAGTGTTAATCGATTACAAATTTAATGATGCAAATATCTCTGCCAAACGTGACCATTTGGAGATCGTATTTTTTCCAAATATCATACTAATTAAATTTGTAATCGATTAACACTAATGTGGTCAAAATCGACGTTGCTTACCTGCATGGTAAGTATACCTAAATTGTAAAAATATTAGATTTTGCTCACACAAACTATACCAATCAAGACATGAATTTCTTCTTTAAAAAAACTGATCCCTATAACTTATCAAGTTCGACTTTCTTGTTTGGCATTAATTCCACCATTGCACTACCTGCCCAGAGATTTAATTTGACCACCCACCAAAGCTAAATTAAATTATTATTTATTTATTTATACAGACACCACGAACGAAGCATCGCTTAATTAAATCCTCTCTCTTCAACGAGGCGCCTGATTTGCGAGGGTCTCCTCCAGTTTGGAAGCTAACCAAATAATCTGACCCGAAAGTCACACCTCCGCCATAAATCAGGCGACCTGCTGCCTGGTGTGGTCTCTCGAGCCAAAAGGAGGTCATGAATATTCAGCAGCGCAAAAATCCATCCATTCCTGTAGCACGTGGACAATGCATTTTTTTCTAAATTTTACTTATTTATCACACTTGTCACGCGTTATTGGACAGATTTGGAGCTATTTTGCCATCGCAAAGTAGCCACACGTTATCTGATGGCTTATCCCTCCTCCCAAAAAAGATTTATGCACGAGGAGACCAAATTAAGTGACTCTATTTCTGCCAGACATTCCTTCTCTACCTGCACGGCATGGATGAATTATTGGACAACTTTCCATTCCTTCTCGCCCGTTCATCAGGTCATGTAGAAGGAATCAAGTACATTTAATTTCATAAAAGTTACGACATTTTCAAAGTGTCGATGTAATTGCGAAGTTACGTCAAAAGGCAAAATCAGGTCCCGTCCTGTCTGACGGGAAATGTGAGACAAAAATAATATTATGGTCAATATTTTGCGAATTTTTGTGCAAAAAATCCACACTTATATTTATTTTTGTAAGTAAATTTTAACGTTAAAACGAGGCCTGTCATTTTCGTAGTGTCGATCTCGACGTGCATAATTGCAAATAAGTTACGTCCGTCCACTCTGTCTGACGGGAAATATGCGACAAAAATAACATTATGGTAAACATTTTGCCAATTTTTGTGCAAAAATTCTACCTCCATATTTATTTGAATAAGAAAAACGAGGCCCATTTTCCCATCAGAAATGCCATCCTCGTAATGAAATACCACTTCCTTCAACTATTTTAATGACGTGCCACCAAAATATTTTACTTGGTTCGCATGTTAACACATAATTTGCTACCACCACCAAACGAACTAATTGTATAAGTGGTACGTACGTAGCTCAAGCCACAAAATGCAATAAATTCCACAATCTGCGAGGAAGCAAAGTCTGCTGACTGGCTTCTCTCTGGAATGATGAGCCGAGACGCAGTTTCCTAATTCCTTAACAAATCAAGTATGCACACTCGCAAGAAAAAGAGCATGAACACGACATGAGCACATACATGAGCACAAAGTACAAGTTGTACCTCGGCAAAAAAAAGTGTAGCATAATGGAAAGGATTTCATGCTGTATTACACCAATTTGTCCGTGAAGGTCGACGTCAAACGAGTCAAACGATACGTTACTTACACAAATATCGAAGATCAAGCAACCTCTGAACAAACCCGGTCAACTTCTCACTAGTTCATTATCGTTTCGTAATAAACAATAAATTTCGTAATTTCTTCACATATTCAAATTCCTTCGTTTCCACCATAAATAAATAAATAAATAAATGAGTAAGTTAAACGTGTCGTAAAAATCTGGCCTTTTTCGCCACAACAGAATTCGCAACGCTGTCATGCTCTCCATAATAATTTTTTGTGCGTTTCCTTCCCACCCCGTCGTGATGATGTGACATCGAATCAAAGTCAAGGTGGCAGTGGAGCAAATAAGTAAATGAGTCGTCGATCTGAGTGCCCAAGACAAATTCAGTCACGAGACCATCAAAAAGCGTTACATTACATTTACTCGCACACATAAGAGTTGCTTTTTTAAGGGAAAAAAAGGTGTGGAGGAGCAGACGACACATAAGAGATTTTAGTTCAGCGTCATGCAAAACTACGAACGCGTACAGCTTCCGTGCTGGAATGTCAAACGTTACAATTACCTCGTGGTTTTGACGTTTCATGGCATGTTTGTGGTGTGAATGGCTATATGTAAATACGTGTAGTGAGTCCGAGTTCAATTGCAGGTAATGAACTGGTTCGATACGGGGCGTGCAGAAGGGATGAGCTTTTTATTAAGGAGAATGATCTGAGGTTAGGATCAGGGGCAGAGTTTAATTTTGGTTCCATTTACCTAAAAAAATAGCGACTAGGTAAAACGCTACACTTGTTAATACGCAAGTCTGGATTTTTGTATCCAGAAATGCGTAGTTGCTAAGTTCGTAGACTTTTCGTATAAAGGCAGAATTTTGTTCCAGATTTGAAATGGATTTCCAACTAAAGGTGCTACGTATTTACTTCACTCCTTGCTAACTTGCGCCATAGTTAAGTTCCAACATTGGCGCAAGTTACCAAGGAGTAACATCGTGATACGAATTAAATTCCTGCGAGAAGGCCCACAAAACCCATCACATTCTTCCCGCACGCCCCTTGAACCAATCTTGATCTACTTCTTTCTTGTCCTGATATTTTTTTACTGGTCACAATTCAAAGGGCATCAATAATATCATCTCGACAGCGTCCCTATTTGGCACGAATGCTTTACATCGCATCGCATCGCCTCGTGTTTAAATGGAGGAGGAATAGGACGCCAAAAAAACGCAAGTCCTCGAATTATCAAATCCAAGGAGTAACTAAAAGACTGCGGGAGTCGCACGACTCGTATTATGCAGCATACTACATGCATACATACGTCTCACCTTTGCTTTGTTGTGGTGGTGCCACCATGTTCAGTACCGTGCAGGGCTTGATTACACTTATTATTTGTTCAGATCAAGACAAACTTTGGCTTTTTGTGGACCTCTTTTCTTACACGTTGCTCTCGATGATGTCGTGTCATCAGGGGATCCATTTCCTTCTCAATAAAAGACTCCAGACACCAAAAAGCAATGAATGAATGGAATTTGCTACTGTTTAAACGCGAGGAAAAAATGTGGGACAAAAGATGAGAAAATGGTAAAAAATGGACAGAAATTGCAAAAATTCTTCAATTAATGGATGGCAAATACTTAACTGTACTATTTTTTTGTAGGAACGAATCAAAATATTTATTATTATTCCTCTCGTGGTATTTAACCCAGCGGAATTT